ATCATCATCCACGCACATGTCATCGGATAGATACTGTATTGTAATAAATACAAAGGGATGTTTCTGATTGAGCACGGAGGCTTGAAAGCATCACCCTGCTATTATTTCTGCTGGACTGAAGCCCTGGCAATTTTCTTCCAAAAGGAATGAGGAGGTCTGGCAGAAAAGACGGACATTATCCAGTATCATCAGCAGGTAAAGAGGATAATACAAGGATACTGACCCATTTTAAAAAGCCCTCATATAATCAGGAGTGATTACTAATCAATCTGTTCGTTACTTCTCCTCAGGATATCTTTACAAAAAAACGATTCTTACTTTGGCATTTAACTCCATCTTCACAACTCTACAACTGGTCTTATTTATTGTTATAAAGATGGTAAAAGCAATATAACATGGGAAATAAAACTATTTAAAAAGATATACATTTTTTTTCAAGATAACGCAATTTGTCTTTTTGATGCGTTTTAAAAATAAAAGTTGTGTAAAAAGTGTTAATCATTTAATGTATTATAATGTACATATTCTAATAAAAAATTTAGTGCATAAAATAGGCTCTTTGGAACATCATTGAAACATTTCAGCAGATTATTGCTGTCTAAGCTGATTATTTCAGCAGGCATGAACAATCGTTTAAGCCAAATTTCAACCTACATAAATTTGCAAGCAATCAAAATTTAAACAACCCTTACACATATTATTTTTGTTTCAATAAAATCAATTCAAGAAAGGAAAAAAAGCAAAGAAATGCAACATTAACTAATATTAAACTTGTCATTTTAAGCACAGTACATGGGTTTGATCAGTTTGTTAATTAAAGCTTTAATACGCTAATACAAAATGTAATTTTGTAATGAACACTTGAGGAAAAAACGTTTTATTACAAAAAGACAGGTCTTCAAAAAAATTACAAGGGATGTAAAATTAGACAGTTTATCACTAACACTTTAACAATAATTCTAATTAAATTGTGTTTTCAGCTATTAAAATAAATTCTTGTTCACAAGTGTTTGMTTTACACAAATGGCACTACTGTTGCGTTTGTGCTTCCATTCAAGCATGTATTATGTTTTGTCACCATCTAGTGGCTGAAACAAGAAACTGTTGTGACTAAATTTTATATCACAAACTTTAAAAACCTGTTTCATCTTAAACAAAGAATTCATACTTACCCTGGGGATAATTGGAAATGAAAGTAAAAAAAAAGATGAGTGAAACTGCTCACCTGTTTGATAGGTATGGCCCTCCCACTGCCTATGCTGTCTGTTTTACTCTCAACGCTCTTTGCCTGTTCACTGCCTTTCCGCGACTGCAAGAGAACAAGAGGAGTCAGTCAGAAACCAAGAGGACACACAGGAGATGGGGCAGTGGTGGAAGCTGTGGGGTGGGTGTAGTTTTGTATGTTGTTGGGGGGGGGCGCGAGTGGGTGAGGCAGATAGACTGGGGGTCAGGAAGGTGAGGGGCATTTGTGTTTATGAGGATCTGCGATACTTGTGGTGAAACTCAGCATTGCAAAAGAAAGAAATAAAAGTAAATAAAAAGCTCCAAACGAACAAACAAGCAAACCAGCAGAACATTCAGCAGTAACACCAACGTGCAAGTTAAAAAATCAAAATCAAATAAGAGACCAAAACAAGACCACACCAGACACATCTCAACACAGAGGAGACCAAAGGACGACCAAACATTGAGTCATGACTCAGCCCTGAAACCCTTCGGGAGATCCTTTCCTCTGTTTGACACCCAGAGCGGGCCCTTAGTGGACCTGCAGGCCAACTGCTGCACTACCCAGAGAAGCGTCAGCTGTCACATTAATTCATAATTATGGCTTTTTCAGCATTAAATGTATTTTTAGTGATAGGAGAGAAAGGAACAGTGGTTATTATTAATAAAGCTCAAGTACAAGCAGCTTCCTCCAATATTTCACCTGCAAAAACCTTATAGGACATGAAGCATTTTGCAAATAAAACAAAGTCAAAGTCAAAGAATTCAAAATAATCAACAGGATGAATTCTGGTACAACCTGTGAATGAAAAATAAAAGTTAAGAAAAAGTTGTTAAACATTAAAAAAAATTAAATTAAAAGTCATTTAATCATAGCCTTCCCACCCCGACACAAAGAGATGAGACACAGGTAGGGACAAACATGAGTGTGCATGGTCTCACTCAGAACATGAGAAATGTCCAGTCACCAATGAAGAAGAGGTAGAATTTGAGTTCAAGTAAACCAACTCTGACGTTAAGATTTTTTTTCCAACATTTTATTTTATTAATTTTTTAAATGATGACTTGTTTAGCCTCTATACAGACACCATACAAAGCAAGTCACAAATTCACTTCAAAATATTCAACAGATTGAGCCAAACATTGCAGTTCCCACAAAATATAGGATGGACAGTAAAGGCATTATTTCATATATTTGTATGTACCTTTTATAGAGTAGCATTGTAAATAAAATACAATACAAGATATACATCAGTCTATTTTTTTCGTCAATCCCTTCAATGGTAGAAAAGCGATTATGCAAGAGTTCATAATCTCTGTACCAAACCCAAAATGAGAAAAAATAAAAACCTAATAAATGAAATAAATAAAAAACGTAAAATGCAAGGAAAAAAAGAGGAAATGAAAAAACAATATAACATTTAACTACATTCATACAAGTCGGTGCAAACCAGTTTCATTTGATGGCAACTTTCAGTGTCATATCTCTTTGCAAGATCCCCAAAAATCCTGACATTCTGTGCTAATATTTTTATGAAGGCCTTCATAAAATCTCCCCCGATACTACTCTAATCTAAAATACCTGTAGATCATACATTTACACCACATTTTGTAGTTGTTGGTGAACACGTATATTATGAAATCAAAACCAACTAAACAAAGAAAAGAAAGAGAAATGAAAAGAAACAACTTGGCACCTCTAGTCCTTGAGTCCTCATATAGGAAAAAAAGGCAGTGTGATGTCATGTAAGGATCGGTTGTGTCCTTTAGGTGGCTGGATAACAGTTCCAAGAGTGACTTGACTGTACAGTGTGTTTTTGTATGGCAAGTTTGAGTGRGCGCACAAGGTGGGGGCAGGCAAAAAAAGGTGGGATGGGGGGCATTTCCAAAAGAGTCCCTACAGTCTGTCTCTCTAGAAGAGATTTAACAGTCTACTTTAAGTGCACTCCGATGGACTCGACTAGGCTGCGTTAGACGCAAAGGTCCTATCGTTTCCATGCGCCTTATCCTAAATGTTGATAAAGCACTTAGGGTAAAGCGGCAAAGAGCTGTAAGTCCTCAACCAATAATCTCCTCTCTATCAGGTCTGGCAAAGCAGGGGGACTCTTTATTTTAAACCATCATGCTTCTTCTAATTCGGAAGGAGTTGGAAAGCCCTTTTTGTTGAAGAAAGGTTGGAAACAGAAGCACAAATCTGCAAATATTAAAAAACAGTGTCAAATGGTTATTATTTTTTTTGTTGTTTTATTTATGTTCTGTCTCATATGTGGAGATCCAGTAACAAGATAAGAGACTAGAGGATGAAATGGAGAAAACGCTGAATGGCAGACACCAATAAATAGGTTGATTTTAAAAAAAGGGAATGAAGCGGAATGGATTTAAGTATAAAAAATGGCATATTATTGATCTGAAGTCTTAACAGTGTGCTTTTCAACACAAAAAAGTACAGACAGGGCCTGAAGACAACGCAAGACCACAGACAAGTTAGAAAAACTTTAGTTTTTGACCATGGAAGCACTAGGAAAGAATAATAATGTGTGCTGCACTGACACCTAGTGGCCAAGAGCAGTTATGGTCAAAACTGGCTTGAAATGATTGTGATTGATAAAACTGAATGTGAAGGTGGTGAAAAGACAAAGTGAATAGATTTATTGATGTAAAAGTTTGTTTTTTTTTTTACTTACTTTAAAGCAACCAATTTTTTTCTTTTTAATTAATACGAAGAGGGGGCTTTTCTGGAAGTGGTTGAAATTGGACCAAATGTCTAAGCCTAAAACTGATGTCTTGCACTCATAGTTCTTAACTTAAAAAAAAAGTTCACAGCAACATACGTGTCTTTATTTGAAGAGTCCCAGTGCCAGTGCCATGAGTTTAAAACACTTAGCTCTAATTTCTAACTGGACTGGACATATTGTGCCAGTGACAATTTAGGGAATATTTTCTGCCTTTATTTCTTTTTCCAGAATCAACAAAAAGTCAACAATCTCTCACCATTTTCCAGGACAGTTAAAGAACTTGTAATAGATATTTTTTTGGGGGGAGGTGGACATGGCTAGACAGGCGACATCCTCGACACTGTCGTGCTGATGAAACTTTTTTTCTTCCTGTCATTCTGTAAAATGGCATGAAGACTTTTTTGTGTGTGTGTGTGTGTGTGCTGCAAGTCTTCGTCTCCTGAGCCCATCCCACTCTTCAAGTGTCACTGAAGAAACGTCGACATTGCCCAGTACACTTTCCTCCGTCCTCCTTCCTTCTTCCTTCCTTCCCGTTACCCTCCCCCTCCTCCCACCCTCGGCTCGCCGCTCTTCAGAAGGTCATGAGCTGAAACTCCCGCTCGGCTTGCCACTCGGGCACCCACACCGGGTAGGTGGCGTGCTTCGGCATCTCCATGACGCGGACGGGGAGAGGCTCATTTCTCTGGTGGACATGGTTAGTCACTACCTAGCAGGGGGGGAAGGGAGACAACAAGGGGAGCTAGCACCAGCCTATACTGCTCGGAGGCCACAAAAACCTGCGGCTCCCACAGCAGCTGGGGTAAAAGGAACAAGGCAGTAGGAAGAAAGAAAAAAAACAGAAGGGGGGGGGGGGACAGATAGGAACAGAGATAGCTACAAAGAGAAAGGAGAGGTCCAGAGGTGAGGGGAGAGAAACGGGGKGGGGGGGGGGGTGTAAAGGTGGGCAAAGTGCAGATGTGCTGGAGGGAATTAGGAGAAGGTACATCTCACAGAGCCAGATCTGTCTCATGAAGCTCAGAACATTTTCTGAGCAAACTTTTTTATTTTTCTGCTTTAAAAACTGCGTTTCTGGTTAGACAAACTATAAAAATAGAAATTTTCAACGATGTTTTTAATGTAAATATCTGCGTGCACATCGTAGACCCAAGAGGTGGAGAAATTGCGACAGTGAATCTAATCACGGGTGCTCACCTTTTGGTTTGCCGACTGCRCTTGGATCCAAAATCCCACCAACAATGACATCAGCTGAACTAGTTTGCTCTGATTTAGTCATTATTAAGCTTTGATGATGAGTTGAAAATAAGAAACAACAGTAAATAATGTAAAAAAAAAWTTTTTTTWAAAAACGGACGCCACTAGTTTTGGGACAGTCTGGCCTGATTTGAGAACTTTTGCCTTCCTTTTTTTCCTTTTTGTTTTGAGCTTGTTGAGGCTCAGATCTGACTGTGCAAGACTGGAAAAGGCTTCGCTTCAAACAAGAAGGCTATAACAAAGAGAGAGAGAGAGGTGAAGGGAGAGGAGGAGAAAGAGAGGACAGGCAGAGGAAGAGCGTAGAGGCTACAAGTATAAGACGAGCTCAGGTAAATTAGAGTGGTTAGTGCACACATATGCTACTGGTCAGAGCAGAGGGTAAATATGACAGGACACGGGGTGGCGGGGTGGGGTAAAGAGCAGGCAGACAGGGGCTGGGGTGCTAAGTGTTGCAGCTAATCTTGGTGATCGAAACCAAATGTGAGCCAGAATGGAAATATAGGGGTGGAGGACGGGGCGCTATCTGGATTCAGCAGGAGGATGAGTGGCTGGAGGATACAGATGTGCCTTATTAGCAGTGTGTAAACAGGCCACAAAGTTGGCTGGGATTTGTTTATTCTTTGTTTTGTTTTGTTTGTTTTAGTTCTGCTTGGTGGGGCAGGAGAAGCTCTGATTTGTTGCTGCCATCTCTCCGCAACAAGGAGGTCACTGAAAAGAAAGGATCTAGCAAAAATAAGAGGGGTGGGGGATGGGAGGTCAAAGACTTAGAGAGCGAAGAGGGCCTAGTTTGTAATGGGTGAGATGAGCAACTACATCCAATTAGAAAAGTATAAATGACAAGAAGATAATTGATGTTTAATACCACAGTGCTTATCTTTGATATTTGCTTCAAGGCTGATTATTTTTGGAGCATACTAGGGATCTAAAACAATATCTGTAAGTCTTTTTTCTCCTTAGCTCGTGATGCTGTGTGAACAAGATGCTGTCTTTGCCTGACTCAAGAGGCAGGAGCGGTGGCTTTGATGCCTTTTTTTTCTAAGCTACCTGTCTCCCTCTAGTGGTAAAACAAAAAATAAATAAATAAAAGTGAGCCTGGCAACATTTCCTCCTCCTAGTAGTGCGAGTGGGTGTTGCTTTGCATCAGCTGTCGCATACTTACTGTGAAAATGTTGGAGCGGCGCTTCGACTGCTTACGGATGGGCGTGGGCGTGTTGGAGGCAGCGATGGTCTCGATGCGCATCTCCCGCTGGCTTATGCTGGGGGTGGAGGGAACGGAGGAGGAGTAGTCGCTGAACGCACCCCCGCCATTGGCTGCCTGGGGGAGCGAGAGAAATTAGGAGGAACCGACGGAATCGGAGAAGAGGGAGGGAGGAGAGGAGAGGAGGAATGTAAAAAAAATGGAACGAGAGGTCAGTTCAGGATAAAGCGATACGTGCATCATTTCCCACACCTAAAAAGTGAGCAATCATCATCAGAGTGCACACACACAACATAATTGCATGTGATAAGTATAATGACAGTGTGAGGGTCTTACCTGGTTAATGTGAACAGAGGGGATGGATGCAGCTGGCACTGATGAGTGGCTGGGAGAGTTAGGGAGGGATTTACAGGGACCAATAGAGAGCTGCTGCTTTTTCCTCATGGCCACAACTTTCTGGGCAACTGGAGGAAAAACACCAACAGACTGTTAATGGGGGGTTTTATGCAGAAAGAGCCAGTAATGTAGTCAACATGTGTTCCTGTACATTGTTTCCAATGGACGATAGCAATCTGCAACACATCCACCATGTGATAACTTTGATTAGACACAAGGATTTTGTTGTGATTGCAACTGGGTGGTAAATCTAGTCAGCAGTTATTAATCGGTCATTGTTTTCACTTCTATAGACCTATTGGTTTTCGTGCAAATCTGTTGTCTTCCTTCTTTTCTGTGTTGTTCTTATTTCAGTAAAATTGACTGGGGGATAATTATTAGCTCCCTGTGTGCTCATAAATATTGGGTTTGGGTCACTCAGCAGCGCAGAAGCTTCACCTTTGACGAACTTTTCAGTGTCTTTTCATCAAAGAAAATATATAGAATCGCTCATGTCAGCCTAGGTCATGTTCACATGTGCAAAACTGTATGCATAGATTATATATTGAGTTTTATAGTGACAGTGTATGTTTTTGTCACTAACTGTCCCAGAACTATATCATCAAATTTCCATTTTGGTTTATATGATGATCTATGGTTTGATGAAAGTTGAAAGTAAATAAATAAATAAATAAATAAATAAATAAATAAATAAATAAATAAATAAATAAATAGATTTATGGCCATTAGGAAATAGGAAGCATTGTTTTTCTGTAGAGGTAATGAGGAGAATGGCCACTGAGAAAGGCTTAAAGGGGCAATATCATGTAAAATCAACTTTTTTGAGTTTTATATCATGTGATAATGTTATAATCTCATAAAAAACATGCCCAAAGCCTTGCTCTGACTCATTCATGCATAATTTGGAAACCCTGCAGCGTTTTTAGGCAGCCATGCTGAGGAGCAAAATGACAGATGGGGACCAGAAACGCCTTTTGGGACCAGAAACGCCCCTGGGATGTGTCTTTAAGCCGAGCTTCCTCATGGCAGAGCGCCCCACTCCTCCCCACACACTCCGCCCATGACTCCTCCAGGCTCTCAGGTGAAACTGAAAGTAAAACCTAACTGTCTGCTGAGCTCTCAACATTAGTTCTCACTCAGTGAAGCTCTTTTCAGATTAAAAATACCTTTGAGGAAATGTATTTTCAGATGCCAAGTAAACTGCATCATGGCACCCGTCACCCCTCCCCGCACCGAAATGGGCGAGACAGAGGCGGAAGGTGGTTCTTAAATAGACAGAGGCCAATTTCAAGGCATTTAGAAGAGGAAGTGATGACAAGATGTTTATTTTCTATTTAAACATAAAAACATCATTTTAATAACAGCTAAAGGTGACATAGATACTTTATTATGGTATAGTATTTAAATATATGCATGAGATATACATAATATTGCCCCTTTTAAAATAATGCTTTGTTACATCATTAGTTTTATTTTTTAAGCAAAACACAGAATGTCACAACTCTTGACTAGAAGGAGATCTAATGATTTGATTGATTGTTACCATGAAAGAAAGACAAAAATAAATAAATGCTGATGCTAATAAAATATTATTCATTGTGTGTTTGTGTCCAAATGACTGGCTGTTAGCTTAGATAGTCTATGATGCAAATTCAAATTTATTTTTATTTATTAAACAGTGATATCATAAAAACTGAAGGTAACATATAGATACCTGATTTTGCTACGAAATTTTGAACTATGAGCTTGGAAAATTACCCCCCCCCCCCACACACACACTTTTTTAAATTAAATTCACAGCAAGTAATCACTGAGCGCACATCTGTAACTGATTAACATTTTTAAATCAACCTGATTCAAGATGGTTGCCACAACTAGTTAGCAAACACAAAAACTGGCCACAACTCAGCCAGTTTGACAAATGTTGAGCTAAACTTTAGTTTGGTAGTAGCTGAGAGTCATCCCAGCAAACAGATTGCATGAGCTCTTTCTTTAAAAACTTTGACATGCAAGGCAGCGGACAGTATGAATGGTTTCAGGATCATTTTACGTAGTTATTAAACTGAAACAGACTACATGCATTTTGTTTGTGCTGCAGCCCTTTAGATGCTCTTATGTAAYGATTTATGTCCCTATTTTTCTTCTATTTCCTGTAAGCGTCGGAGCATGTGAGACCTTGTAAAAGTACTTCACATCATGACGGCTGCCGATGTTAGCTTTGGTGCTATTATAGCAGTTTTCTCTCAAGTCTTGTCAATGTGGTTAAAGAACAATAAAACAATAACAACAAAAAACTACATTCATAACAAATTAGGTCATTTGTTTCCTAGTCAGATAATAAATATTGTCTTCCGTGTGTACATCACTACAGAAAAAAAAAAGATAAAGATAACTATTTGCAGAAAAAGCTACAATAAAAATAAAACCTGCAGTTGTGTCCTGTGCTTCACTGATCCCTACAGTCTGCTTTTGGCCAAATGAGACTATTGTAACCATGTGAACGGCTCAATTGGCTTTGCAGCATGTGAGACCCCCCTATTTAATTCACAGCACACTTGTCTGGGTGGAGTGGGGAGGAGGTGTCGTTCACGGCTGCGTGACGTGAATTAGCATTGAGGGAAGGAGAGGAATGATCTGAAGCCGCATCGACAGCTGGGACCACAACGCCCGACTGCCTGCTGTAGCATGGCAAATACAGAGAGAAGGCAACAGTTCTACACAGTGACTTCTTCAGACGCCCAGCACTCTTTTAATTATTTCAAATTGGGCTTCAGGAAGCAATTAAGGCAGGAAGGGAAGACAGCATGGCTGTGAAATGCGCAAATGCATTGACAGTCACTGAGATGCACAGTGAACGCTGCACCACACATTCAGATGTTTTCTGAATGGATGACAGACTTTCAAAAGAGCTGCAGCTTTGGGGGATAATGTGCCAAAGCTATAGCTCCTACGTTTCCAAATAGAAGTTTCTTTATATCAATTATGAATTCCCTGAAAAATGTAAGCGTTCCTACCTACTTTAGAGAAATTTTATTTAGCCTAGAGATAAAGCATTTCAATTTTTGCTAATGCACTCGGCACTAATTTGTCTTTAGCTTAGAATACCACGTTTGCATTCATTATTTTGCTTTCATAATTAATTGCTGCAGCAATGACAATTTTAAAAGTTAAATTTTTAATACCACAGTATGTAACAAGTGGAGTGTGGTTAATGGGAACAAAACATTACCTTGGCAATTATGGCTCCAAAAAGCAACCCGTAGAAACATTCATGCACGTTATTGTTGCCAACAACTGTTCTAAGTGTTTTGTTAGTTTTGCTGAATTACACATTTTCAAGGTAAATCTATAGTGTATAGTTAAATATGGGGGCAAAACAGATGAATCAGTATAAAATTACTAGTTCTTGTAATCACTTGGATTAAAATGGAGGGATGCGAAGACACATCCAAGAGGTTCTCCTATCATTCACAAAAAATCTGCAGTATTAAAACTTGCAACAAAGTGGAAATATTATGCTTGCATATCTTTTTTCCATGTTTAAATAATTCAGTTGGGGTTTATATAAACTGGAACTGTTATGGTTTGGTCTGAATTCCTCCTCATTGTAACTCCACAAGCCCCTCTTTCACCCCTTTTCTAAAGTCCGTCTCGTTTTGATTCTGTCCCTTTAAATCCAAATGAGGTGCTTCACACCCCTGTTCAAATGTTTAAATGAGTAATAAAAACAATTCTGACCCAGGATTCATGTACAGGCTAATGGGATGAGCTAATATGTTTAATTGGGTTTGACTGATGTCTTCAGTTCCAGGTTGTGTTATTTTATTGAAAACCCACATCTCCTCTTCCCGTCAAACCCATCTGTACTTGCTGTAAAAGAGTCCCCCTCTCACCATCCTGGAAGACTCTCTCCACATTCAGGCCATAGGTGGAGCAGGTCTCGTAGTATGTGCAGCGCTTCAGGTCATTTGATAATTTTCTGGCCCGGGCGTCATCAATCACTCTGGGGTTGGCAGCACTGATTGCATCTAACAGAACAAGGCAGGAGAAGAGCATCAATCAAACTCAAGTGTCGGACGGCGCAGAAACACTGAATACCTCTCGGTGAGAGGTATTAATACTTCCAATATGGAGGATGTAACATGAGACGTATACGTATCAGACGTAGCACACCTTGTGTTCCAACAAGGACCATGGGCACCTCAGCTGTGTTTCTGTAGCTGGATAGGCGCAGAAAGTAATTGTAGACTGTCTGAAAGCTGATCTCGTCCTCCAGGCTAAAGACAAAAACCACGGCGTCCACCCAGGCAGCAAACTTAAGTTAGGGAAGAGACAGCGTGAGACATAAATCTTATTAGTGTCCTGTTAAGAATAAGCTCGTACATCATCTATTTGCAGAAGATTCACTCAGGAAACACGTGTCTTTTGTCGTTGATGAAAGCTTAGACTGGCATCAAAAATACTGAAAGCTCTAAAATAATTTATTAGTCTAAAAATTGCAGACTGAATAAAAAAGACTAAATAAATTTCTTTAGAGAAAACACAGAGTAATTCTGATCACGTCAGTGTACTTTACAATTACAGCCAGAAGGGGGCAGTATTGGAACATGCAATTCTCAATGACTGCCTCAGTTTGAGACAAAGTACCATGAAGAAATGACACAAAGTGATTTTACATTTCCACTAATGCTACATGTTTTTCTTCACACTTGCTGTTAACTTACTTTTGTACTATAAATGTCCAGAATCTTTATTATGGGAATGATCAAACAGTGAAGAAACCTTTATTTTCCTTTAAATAATAATAAAAAAAGAATCAATATCTCCTCTGGGAAGAACGTTCTGCTTAATGTGCAGAAGTGGTACCAATGACAATCAAATGACAAATCATTTCTCAGCACTGCGTTCTTCTTCTTTAGCTTTCACAGTTTCCTATCGGCCACAAAGTGAAAGGCAAATGAAGCCTTCCAGCTACAACTCCGAGTGGGAACATAATGAAGGCCTTTAATTATGCCACTAATTATACAGGCAGCTGACAACTGAGCCAAACTCATATCTATTCCCTGATCTCAGTGTGCATAATGCAAGTGTAAATCAGAGTTTTGTCCTGGAAAGGCATCAGTAGCTGTGAAAAAAAAAAGCTGGAAGGTAAATATAACAGCAAAAACATGGAAGCTTGTGAATGAATCCAGCAGTTCTGCATGTTCTTTCCAGGGCGGGGCTCTGATACTTCAGCAACGATCGAGTCCAAGAATTACATTTGAAATTGTTTTATCGTTATATTTTTGTTTTATATGAATATTTTATTTCTATTTATTTTTCTGCTTTAACCTTCAGTACTCTTTTCTGTCCCTCACACGTGTTCATGTTCAAGCAGTTTGTCTCATAAACTCAGTCCTTAAACCTGTCCATMTTCCCCACTCCTGCTGCAGATCTCTGTATCGCTGTTAGAATCCAWCTGGCTCCTGTTTTATTTGATTTTATTTTTTTCATCTGTTGCACCATCTTCCTAACCTATAACTGCGCTCCTTTCTTTGCAAACAGTTCTCTCGGATTCTTGCAGGCGCGGCCACAAATCGCCCTCTTCACTCTGCCTGTGTTTTCTTCTTTGCCTTCCCTTTTCAACCCCCTTCTTCACCTGATCCCAGCTATCTATACCCTTCTAGCAGCCCCATCTTGCCAGTGTTTTTGCTAGCAGCCTTACTACAACAGTTTTGTTATTCTGCTCTCCAAACGTACCTCAGACTTTCTGAAGCACTTCGGAAAATAAATATGGTTCCAAACAAGGACATAACCGTTGGTCTGCCATTGTGGGGTTATGCAGCTGTGTTCTTAACCAGTTCATTTCTATTGTGGTAAGGCCCTGTCACACTGGACAACTTATGAAACCTTTTTTATGTCTAAATTGCTATTAAAAGTTATATATTTGATCAATTTGTTCGAATTACATTATGTACACACTGAAAAGAAGCTTCCTGTTGATTTTTTTTTTCAATTCCATCTTCAATGTAGATGTTTTTAAAATGTTCATAAGTTGGAATAAGTTGTCTGGTGTGACAGGGCCTTTAGAACCAATGATGTCATTTTAGGTGGGGGGGGGGTATAATGACTGGATCAAATTATTGTGGGGGTCATAACCCCTCTAACCCCCCCTGCAAATCAAATTATGCCCATCATTCCAAACGTCATAAGATAATTTTGTCAGATAATACTGTGCTTTTTTTCTTCATGACTTACTCTGGACTGTAAAAGTACAAATCATGTGCCATTCTTGCAAAGTAACTGTTATGGAAATATTTATTTAACAAAGACAGAAATGCGTGGTCCAAGAATAAAAAGGTACTCCGTGGAAATGATCAGCTGAGTTTTATTGCAACAACAGGAACATAGAGAACAACATAGAGCAATCAGACTGTCCCCCTGGTCGAGGCCTCATATTTACTGTTTAACAAACATTATGTCATCTTAATAAAGCAAGATTTCATTCTAATGAACTGTTCGGTCAAGGGAAAACACAAAGATAAACACAAATGATATTTAAGAATGAACAGCATGTCATGAAAGCCTAGGTCATTAAAGTATGCCATGAATTACTGGCTTAAACCTAAAAGTAATATTTCCATTACACTCTTTCTGTCTTTGTTAAATAAATCTTTCAAAAACAGTAATGCAACTTCACATTGCACAATAATGCAAACTTTAATATGACTCCTACTTGAATTCAAAAAGTCTAATGTTTGGTCCAGAAAAGTTGCTTAAATGCGAACAAGAAGCAAGGGTGGGTGCAGCCTCTGCGGAGTATTAAAAGGGCGTGCTAGCATGTTTTAAGAGCTTGACGTCGACGGTTGGTACAAAACCCATGTGTGTGAGGGATTGGCCGCTTTGTAAAACAGATGTAACAAAGTGGAGTGTGTAGGAAGGAGCAGATAAAACTTGTGTGTGGAGCTTCGCCCAAATGAAGGATGGCACAGCTCTGTATGGGAGAGGGAGTCCTCGTAGCAGGGAAGACACATCAAAATGTGTTTTACTGAGATGGCAGCAGAACAGATGGAGAGTTAAAATAAGCCCAGGTTTCAGAGGAGGTTTGATAGGTGACAGTGACAGATCGTTTTTAATTGAGTTCACCTAATGTCCGACGCAAAACTAGGAAAAAAAWAAATAAATAAACGACGACGCTGCTCAAAAATAGTTTGACGGCTGATCTGAAAATGAAATATGTAAAGGAATAGTCTCTTTTCCCCCTACTAAAGATGTACGAGAGCTCAACTTAAATGAAAATTAGTTTTTTTTATATTTCAGGTCCTCATATCGATTGATTCAGTTTTGTCCATTTGGCCACATGATGATTTTGCCCGTGGTGACTCGACCTGTCTTTACCCCGGGGGTCGCAGTCACACATCTCCAAGCGGCCCGGCTGGGAATCCACGATTTGCCTCAAACAGTTTGGGTCAGCATGACGGTTTGTAGACAGTTTCTGCTCGATACGTGTTGCAGCTTCAGAGCAAAGGAAGGGTTTGGAAGAATCTGCACGCTTACCTGCAATTCTGGAGGGCCCCCTTCATCTCTGATGAGAAGTAGGTAGCTCTGACCGTCCACCACGATCTCTTTCTTGAAGCGTCCACCTAAAGACGAAATATTGCAGGGATGAGATTGGAAATTGACTGTTGAGTTGCAATAACTGGCTACAACAGGGTGCCAAAAAAGAGAAAAGATTGCAGCTGTATTTCACACTCAATAACCAGAAGAAAAAAAGATAAATAAGGCAAAAGTCAATACCGAAACACAGCTTGACATGGCTCGTAAAAGTTAGATGCTTAAGTTTAAGAACAGTTTCTCAATTTAGACCTCCTGAATGTGGTGTTGCGTGGATCATATGCCGACGGGAAAACCAGGTCCCTCTGGAGCCAATTACGTGGGGGAGAAATTGCCATTAAGCATGTCTAATGTGCAGCTGCTGAAGGAGCCAGCTCATTGCTCCTATTACTGCACGGCTACAAGTCAGGAAAAGGCCGAACTTTCTCTTTGCAAACATTATCAGGTTGCTTATTCAGTCCTGAAAACTTTCACCRAACGAGCTACAATAAATCTGCAAACAACACAACTTATTACCTTGTAATGAAACAGGTACCCTAACAAAGACTATTCCACTGGATAGAAAAAGGTCCACCGTGATTGTAGAGAGGAAATAACATTTGCCTCCTGTTCAGCCTTGAGTTTGTCTCCCCTTTTCATTTCTTTTTCTGATATAAACGCGTTATCCTTGCCGCCAGCAAAGCCGGCTGCCGATAAGAAGGAGACCAATGGGAGAGCCGCGCAGCAAATCGGAGTCTGCGTATCATTTGAATGGTTTTCGATCCTGTAGAGATTAAAAAGATTCAAATGAGCTAGTTGCAAGGCTAAAGATGCCCTCACATGGAGCGAATACGGTGCCTTTATGAATACCAAAACACGCTGAAAGCAATTTGTCAGAAGTGAATAATGCAAAACTCGGAAAGAGCTCTTGTATTCCTTCCAAACGTGTCCAAAAATCACGCTGAGGATTGAATTTGAACAGACTGGAGCGCACACACTTGCTGCTAAACCAACATATTGAGAGCTAAAGATCTCACACCGTAGAGGGGACGGACCACACAGTAGCTGGGGGCTATCTTTTTTTTTTTTTTCCAAAGGAGGACAGTAGTTCCCTTTCAGTCAATTCACTCGGTACAACATATGTATGGGAACCACGCTCCTGCGTGCCCTGGCTGAAGCCACCTCTAATC